CTAGTAATAGACCTCCCATCAGCAGGTTCTTCCAAAACAACTCCGTCCGAAGACAACGCCTTCTTCGATCTCCTACCCATATCGAAAGATGGCGCCACTAATTTTCCGAACCGACTTGCTAAAAAGTCGAGAAAGGGCGACAAGTGGCTCAGGAGTGTCGAGAAATTGAAGAAGAAAACAAGGGCGCCTATTTTGAATTTGCAAGAGTATTTTCATTTGAACGATAGTGGTGATTTGAGGGTTATCAATTTTGGTGTCAAAGTGCAGAAGGGCTGGGATAGTTGTGATGGCCCTTGGAAATGGTGGCATAGGGTTCCTTTGGGCAGGGAAGCCAGGGAGGAGAAGAGGGGCTTGTTGGGGAAGCTGAGGGAAGGGATTAAGAAGATTTGGAGGAAATATGGTAAATGATTGATTTTTAAGTATTCAGTATGTTTAGAACTATCTGATCCAAAGATTTTATTTTTTACCAAACAAAATATGGTTTTGGCTTCATCATATTTTAATTAGCAATCAGATTTAATAAAATATTGAATTATTTATTGGCTTTACATGCATGATAAATTTAAATTTAGTATGACTGTTGACTTTTTTTTATTATTTTTACTATTTTATACTTTTGATGTTTAGTTCATTGATGAAAGTATAATTTTTATCATAAATAATTATTTTTATTAATTTCTATTCGATATGATTTCGTTTATAATTGTGCAAATGCGACTTGTGTCTTTGACGTAATAATTATAAATAAACTTGAAATGTTTGCCACGTGGATGCGGGTTATCTAATGGGAGCAAATCGAAAGCTCTTTATTATAAATTGTATGTAAATCTATATATATATATATATTATATATAATATTATATATATATATATATATATATATATATATACATATATATATATGTATATATTTATATATATAAAGTACGTGTCACGATGTTGGTCCGGAATGAACTCCTAAACTACTGAACCGATTTTTTTTAAATTTTATTACCTGACTGCGTGCATTTATATCCAACTTATAGACTATACTTTAAAAAAATAATTAAAAATCTTAGGTATGGGAATCAAATAATTTCAAATCAAATATTTCTGAAATTTTGCTTATATTTGATACAATTTTTATTAATTTTTTTTTAAAATTAATTTCATTGTAACAAACAAAGCAATAATTATATGTAATAAACATATGTAATTATATGTAATTACATAATTATATGTAATAAACTCATTCAGAAGTTCAATATTTGCTCATATGTCGATAAATTCAGAAATTCAGTAAACAAAGCAATGACATGATTTTTACGTGATGTTTCCTCTTGAAAATATATTTTGATGTACAAATGTATATAATTTCTGCTTGATATCAAGTTGCCCAAAACTCCTTATTTTTGATAACTATAGACTTTAACTTAATGCGATATAACGATTTATCTAACGTATTTTCATGTAAAAACGTACAAAACTGCCGCTTGATATCAAATTGCCCAAAACTCCTGATTTTTGGTAACTTTAGACATTAACTTAATGTAATATAATAATTTATCTAAAGTATTTTTATGTAAAAATCTACAAAACTGCAGCTTGATAGCAAATTGCCCAAAACTCCTGATTTTTGATAATTTTAGACTTTAACTTAATGTAATATAATAATTTATCTAACGTATTTTCATGTAAAAACGTACAAAACTGCCGTTTGATATCAGGTTGACCAAAACTCTTGATTGAAGACCATAACTTTAGACTTTTAACTTAATGTAATATAATAATTCATTATTCGTATTTTTATGTAAAAAATTACAAAACTGACGCTTGATTTCAAGTTGTCCGTAACTCGTATTTTTTTATTTTATTTATTTTTTTAATGTAGATATTTATAAATTAAATTTTATGTAATTGAATGAACCTATGAATTCAAAAATCTATAAAATTGTATATTAAAAAAACTGCAGTCCTGTTTGCAAACTGTTAAGTTTTTGAATTTAGGCAAATAATTGTTTATGTATAAAAATATTTATATATAATAATTTATGAGTCTTGAAAAATGAAAGTTTTTGAAATTAAATTCATCGAATCCATAATTTTATAAATTTAAATAATAGCGATGGCCTCTTTGTAAATTTTTATATGTAACTAAACTCATTCAGAAATTCAATACTTATGTTAATAAATTCAGAAATTTAAAAATTTAAAAATTTATTCGTTTATTTGTTCGAACATGAAGCCAGGCTTTTCTATTTCTATTTAATATTTATTTAAATATAATTGCACAGTCAGTCTTGATTGGAAATCACTATTTTATATAAACATCTGATCATTATTTTCGAAATTATAAAATTAGTGTTTAAATAAATATTAGAATTATTAAAATTAGGGTTTGAATAAATAAATAAACAATTAAAATAAAAAGTGGTAAACCTATACAAAAGTTAAACCTAATAAAATAAATAAATAAAACAATCTTCCTTAATAAATTTGGTCGCAATATATTATTTGAAAAAATACAATTTTTAACTTTTTGTAGGAGAATTGTATGTTTTTTATATCGTAATTATTTCTTGAATTTTTTTGACCATGTCGATGAAAATTTGTATACATGTATGTATGTATATTATTATTATTATTAATTCCGATTCAGTCAAAACGAAGAAAACTCTCTTTCAATAAGATAAGAGACCATTAATTATTATTACATACAATGCAATATGACGCGTTCCACTTTCGCAAAAGATAACGAAAATAATCATTTTGCAAACAATACCACATTCCTTATTTATCCAAGAATTTAATACAAAAATCATAAAAATGTTATGTAAAAAAATTTGCCGCCAAAAGATAATAGACACTTTAGGATCCGTATTTGTTCTGCATTTTTCATGTTTAAAATTTTGTTTAAATTCAGTAAATATTTGGATCATGTCGAATAGCAAAATTTAATTAAATAGATAATTCTAAAAATTGTATAGCTGACATTAAAATTGCTATAATAGTCTTGAAAACTATTCTATAAATATTTATAAAAGTCGCAATTTTTAATTAAGTTTACCATTTAATAATTTCTTGTTTTATTGGCAAGTGTTTCTTTTCAATATTTAATTTTTTTGTGTTTATTATTATTCATTTATTTTATCGCAAAACTTTCAATACGATAAATCTTTTATCTTTACCAAACTTCCTGGGAATATGAACTTTTATATCAATATAAACAAATCTATCTATTCATCAGCAAACAGATTTCAGTCTAATTGTCGCCTTTTCAGTAAATTAGTAAACATCCGAGACATTGGCATCGATTTGTTTGAGAATTTAAGTACAATTGTATTTCCAGGAAATGTGATTGCAAATTGTTAACTGGACTTTAGTAAACTAAATAACTAAATAATAATTGTATTTGAAGAACTTCATGTAATTAAAATTAACATACATTCATTGACTGTTGGTATTTTTTTTACTTTTTCACTGGCGATATAATCTCATTCTTTGAACAGCTTTAATTTCTGTCTTGCCTAAAAAATATTTTCCATTTTAATAACTTCAAAGATTTAGATAATTAACGAATAATATAGAAATAATTTATACGAATAATATAAAATTATTCTTGGGCATCCATCCAGTAATTAAAAACAGTTTTATTGAAAGAAAATGTTTTTATTAAGAAAACATACGTTTCGAGTCTTGATTTGACCCGTCTTCAGTGCTACAATTAAATATTCCAGGGTTACAATTTAAAAGCAATATAGAAAAAATACATAATTACAGAAAAATATAAAAACATGTGAAAAAAAGCATAAATCTAACCAGTTTAATAAATTTATTTTATAACTAATATATATTGTGTATATAAAAGTATATAAAATGAAAAACAACATATAATAAACAAATGTAAGGAAACTTACCATACAAATAAATTTGAACTTACATAAACCTTAAACTTAAATTTGAAATTACAAATAATTTTGAAATTAATTTATCATAACTCGACGTTTTATCAATTTGTTGTATCATACTTTTTTCGTGTGTTTTTGTGTTTTATTTTCAAATTAATTTGTATGGTGAGTTTCTTTACATTTGTTTATTCTATGCTGTTTTTCATTTTTATATACTTTCACAATATATATTAGTTAAAAAATAAATTTATTAAATTGGTTAGTTTTATGCTTTTTTACATGTTTTTATATTTTTCTGTAATTATCTATTTTTTCTATATTGTTTTTAAATTGTAACCCTGAAATATTTAATTGTAGCACTGAAGATGGGTCGAATCAAGATCCGAAACGTATGTTTTCTTAATAAAAATTTGCTTTCAATAAAACTGTTTTAATTACTGGATGGATGCCCAAGAATAATTCTATCATATATATATATATATATATATATATATATACTAGCTGACCCGGCAAACGTTGTTTTGCTAAGTAAGGTATATTCTAAACAATGTCTAGAGAATCAAAAAAACTAATACGCTAAGTGTATAAGGATGCGTTGTTTGAATGCTATAAACACTATTAGTTTGTCTATATTTTATCAATACAATCAAACTGGAAGTTTTATACACTTTCTGTAGAAAACATGGTTTAATCCAATCCAAGCCATTTTAGGTCTTTCGACTTATTGATTACGTTTCACGTTTTTCAGATTCTTTTTTGATTCAGGATTTTATGTATAATTGTAAATAATACTACTGAGCTTATACAAAATTTTCAAATTTCTGCGAGTAGAGAGGAGAGATAGAAAATGAATTAAGTGTTTCTTCTTTGACCTGCTTTTTGAAAAGTTTCAAGTAAATCGACAGTCACAGTTAAAAAAATCACTTAAGTTAAAAAGTCATTTTATGTAAATATTTATGAATTTACTGCTATCTTCAACCCAGGCTTCCAAAAACGTACCAAATTCATGAAACATTTTGTATAAATATTACTTTGTATACCTATACAACTACTTCTCTTCTTCAATTTAATTGGTTCCTGAACACAAATAATCAATTACACTATTTTTTCTAGTTTCTTCACCCCGAACTGCCAATTCAACCAACGGTCAATCCTCCAATTCTTGCCAGCAGCAGCAACCCTCATCTCAAGGGCTTCGTAAGGGCGAAGCACCAGGCCTAAGGGTGCGCAGATACGCCCTTCAATTAGCCAAAGACAAAAGCACCACTTTTGCCCAAAATGTAGACCATTTCATTGCTTGCACTAGGGATGGAAGGGAAAGACAACCCCATGTGGTCATGAGAAATATGAGGCAGTTCATGTCAGGTAATAATAAATCATTATATATATCTATATATATATATATATATATATATATATATATATATATATATATTTATTTATTAGCTGACCCGGCAAACGTTGTTTTGCTAAGTAAGGTATATTCTATTCTAAACAATTTCTAGAGAATCAAAAATATTAATACTTTAAGTGTATAAGGATGTGTTGTTTGAATGCTATATACAATGAGGTATTATAAAAACAATAAACCCCATTAGTTTGTCTATATTTTGTCAACTGGAAGTTTTATACACTTTGTATAAAAAACATGGTATAATCCAACAAGTCTTTTTTGGTCTTCCGACTTATTAATTACGTTTCAAGTTTTTCAGATTCTTTTTGGATTCTGGATTTTGTGTATAATTGTAAATAATACCACTGAGCTTATACAAAATTTTCAAATTTCTTCGAGGAGAGATAGAAACTGAATTAAGTATTTCTTTTACGAACTGCTTTTTTGAAAAGTTTCAAGTAACATTCGATGAGTTAAAGTAAATTTAATAAAAAGTATATATGTAGAGTAGGGCAAGGCACAAAGGTCCAATTCGACTTTGAGCAAATATTAATCTTATATATAAAAATATAGCTCTCGATAAAATGATTCGCTAAAACTCGAGAACGGCTAAACCGATTTGGCCAGTCTTAGTCTGAAAAAATCATGCTAATCAGCAGGTTGTCGGAAAGGTGAGATATTATTTCAAAATCGCGTAGAAACTTTACATTTTTAATTTGAACATTTTTGTAGAAGCGTAATTTAAATAAAACAATAGACGGTGGCTAATACGTCAAATGTCAAACGTTTTTGGCAGATGATGTTTAATTACGTTTAATATGATGTTTTACGCGAATATTATCATATTTTTCTCAAACACGGTGCTCTAAACGATCTCATTTGTATAATTATATACTCGTTGATATTTATAAAACATTTTCTAGATTATATTATATTTTATTTATGTTTTTTAAATTCAGAACCTAAATTTGGTATCGATCAAAGGGACATTTTGTCGGACATTATTTTGGTATTGATCAAAGGGACATTTTGTCGGACATTATTTTTGCAGTTATAATTTCCCAGAATTTATCGAAGAATAGATAGTAATATATAATTGTTTGTTTGAAATGTGTTATTTGTTCTGATATAATTGTTTTGGTTTTCATAATAAAGGTCAAATTGGACCTTTGTGCCTCGCTCTGCTCTACATATATACTTCTTATTTAATTTAAAAAATAATATAATCTAGAAAATGTTTTATAAACACCAATGAGTATATAATTATACAAATGAGATCTTTTAGAGCACCGTGTTCGAGAAAAATATGATTTGCAAAAAAAGAATGCTACAACGCCAAAAAATGCATTTTCATATTAACATTTCAAAAAAGTTGATATTTTGAGTTTCTAGTAACACTTACGATTCGTTTAATAACGTTTTTGTATATAAATAAAACTACAAACAAAACTACTTACTACGATTTAATTATAATTAAATAATATTCACGTAAAACATACTATTAAACGTAATTGAACATCGTCTCTCAAAAACGTTTGACATTTGACGTATTAGCCACCGTCTAATGTTTTATTTAAATTACGCTTCTACAAAAATGTTCAAATTAAAAATGTAAAGTTTGTACGCGATTTTGAAATAATATCTCACCTTTCCGACAACCTACTGATTAGCACGAATTTTTCAAGACTAAGACTGGCCAAATCGGTTTAGCGGATCATTTTATCGAGAGCTCCATTTTTATATATAAGAAGATAACTTATATAACAATTTTTGTTTTCTTCAGGTATGAAAAACTATCTCCTGAAACACGGTGAACGTGGTTTTGAGAGGGAAGTACAATTGGCTCGTGCAAGGTTACGTGGGGACGAGTTTTTAAATTTGGACGCACTTTTGGAGTCCGTCATGCAAAAATTGGTGGCAGTTCCTCTGAGAGAACATTTGTATGCGCTATTTGTGGAATGGTGTGCGACCAGAGGCGATATCGAACTTATGGCTGAAAATATCAAGTTGGCTGCTGAATACGAACCTAGGGAACTTGGACTTAGGGTAAGGAAACTTTTTTTTTTTATTCGACAATATATTTACAACTGTCAACATAGACATCAAGTGAATCTTTTGGCAATTATATATCAAAAATTCCATCGATATATAAATAGTGAAAAATATGTAGTTGCATTTTTCCTTTATAAAAAATAATGTAATGTGACACGAGTAATTACAAGCTAATTAAATCACTAAATATTTTTCTTTTGAAGTATTTTTTTCTTTTTTAGGTAAGGAAACATAACGAATCTGATTTTATGGTGACATGGCAGGTTTTTATTTAGAACTATTGAATAGTGTTGTTTTATATTTATTTTCTAGGCTTGTGTGAGTCCTCCAAATGGTGCTTCGATGAGCGCAATTGCTGATCAATTGACTTTGCTTCAGGAAGCAGAATCGCCTTTGGACAAACTCGATAAATTATTGAGAGCAGTTGCTTTGGTTTTTGAAGGAACTGGAGGAATAAAGTAAGAACATAAAAAAATTATAAATTTAATTAGTTGGTATTGGTATTTTGCCTGGAGGCAAGTTACATTAACTTCCCGATATGTGTAAATAATCGATTTAATCAATAAAAAATAAATTAATTTATGAGTGGATTTATTACACATAATTGAAAACGAACGAACACGTTAACTCGAAGTATTTTCTAAAAGCAAATTTTCACAAATTAACAATTTTTATATTTGAACCAGTTTCCGTAGGAGTTTAAAGGTTTAATATGTTTATTAAGACTAAGTACTCTATCGTTATAACAAATAAATCGTCTAATTTTAATTTTAACAATCGTCAAAAAAACTACTCATTTTCTCAAACTTTAATGATTTTTTAAAATTAAACTACTTGTCGTAAGGCTGTAATATTTCAGTAAGTTCTGAAATCGGTTCAGGCGTTTTTGAGAAAACGTCGATCAAAAGTCTAATTTTGACAAATGCCAAAGAAACGATATTAATTTTTGCAAACTTTGACGAATTTTTAAAGCTAAATGAGTTGTCATAGGACCGTAATATTTTAGTATGATCTACAAGACTATGGTATCTACCGTCAAAAAAATACATGAAAATCGTCGAAAAAGAATTTTTAATACGTTATTACAAGAAAACGGCTCGGCCGATCTCTACCAAAAACTAATCAGCACGATTCCCAACCAATATCTTTCGAACGGTTTTGAAATTTTAAAATCGATTCAGAATTGCGCGCTAAAACGTGGACGAAAATTTTTTCACTTTTCTGCTATTTATAAGGAAACGGCTTAGGCGATCGTCGCACGAAACTGGCAAACAATAATCCTCATCGAGATACATCGAATGGCTTTTAAATTTTTGAAATCGGTCTAGCCCTTTTTGAGAAAACGGCGATTTACGGCACAAGATCTGTTCACATACACACACACACGCACATACATAGTTTTTCCAAATTTAGTCTCATTCGATTCAGAATGGCTTGAAACGTCCCGGAGAAAACATAAAATTAGCGAATCGGATTTTTTGATGAAAACAAACTTCTCCTTCGGGAAGTTAAAAAAGTGGTACTTTTGAATTGTAGACGTGGATACAGGACAACGTCTGTCGGGTCATCTAGTATATATATGTATATATATATACATATATATATATATATATATATATATATATATATATATATATATATGGCCGAATTGAGCCAATTTCATATTAAATATTATTATTTAGAAATGAAACCGTAATGAACTGTTGTAGACTCGATCTTAATGTGAGTTTATTGATAACTCAATTTACAACGAACTGATATCATATAAATTTTGATATAAATTTATTAGCCCAACAATTGATGGATGACTAAAACCGAGAACCATTTTACGATAGTGAAAACAATAATCTACTAAAGCTTGCTAGATGCGACATTCGCATCAGCGTAGCTCCAAGTATGCTGTGTAGTTTAGTCCACATTGGCGTCAATCAACTGACATCTGTCAAGAACATTTTCATTCCGCCACATATATACATATATATCTAATATATCTATTTTTCCCCAGGGTGGTCTCCGCCGACGACTTCCTGCCCCTCCTGATCCTGGTCATAGCCCGCTGCGGAATGGTCGGAGCAGAAATCGAATCCGAGATAATGTGGGGCCTGCTCCAGCCCAGTCTCCTGTCAGGAGAAGCAGGTTACTACCTCACTGCCCTTTCGAGCGCCGTGCACGTCCTGAAGAGTTTGGGAGCAGGTTGTAAGGACGCCACTGCCGCCTCCAATTGCTTCGTGGCCGCTTCGAATAATGGAATCAATGGGGCTTGCGAATCTGAAGTGAGTTAATAAAAGATTTAATAGAAAGGAAATATTTGGTAGGAGAGAAAGATTTGTTAGGATTAGTTAGGATTGACAAATTTATTGGAAAGTTATTAGGATGATGGTTTGAAAATTTGATTGAAATCTCATCTAAATTGGTTTCGATCTGAACATGAAGAGTTACAGATGATAAACAGACATAAAGATAAGAAACTGAATTAGTATTTGGATTTTAGGATTTGATCTTCGAATTTTAATTCGATATTATATTACTAATCTCCAATTAAAAAGATTCAGTTACAGACGTAAAAAATGATTTTTTTCAATTTTAATATAATTGAGAAAAAGTGTATAAATATAATTTTTTTGTTGTGTTCTCAAAAGTTCCTAAAGAGAGGAACATCCGAATTCTCGACAAAATAGAATTTAAATAAATATTTTTTTTTAAAAAAGGAAGAGGCTCTTCGTTCAGAAAATATTAAAATTAATATTAAGGTGTGGCTTTCATCTATCACTTTATTTATTTCTGTTCTATTTCTTTCTCTGCTCCAAAATTAACAACTATTATTTAACATGTATGTATGTTTTTTTATAATTTTGTATAAATGTTCTGTTTATATTTTTTGATATGTCTGTTTAATTGTTACTGTGAATTTTGATGACTTTTTGTGTTATTTTTTTCTCTCTTAAATGTCAGTATTAATTTGTTTATGACTTTGTATTTGTATGTGTTATGAATTTATAAATATAAGTTTTAATAAATTTGTGTGCTTGCATTTTCATTTTTTGCTTCTGCTCTCCTGACATTCCTTGGCTTTGCTTTTTTCTTCTGCTCTACTTTTTTATTTTATTAATGCTTATAATTTTTCTAACACTATTTCAGCTATATATATATATATATATATATATATATATATATTATTTTAACTTGGAAATATAAACACAATGCTCTATTTTTTGTACTAATTAATAAATAATATTAGGCTTTGTCGCCATGTCGCTCGGATTGTGACTCCTCATATATCGGACAGAATTTTATAAAATTTTAATTCTGAATTTTGAAATTAAAAATAAAGAATTAATTTGTAACAATTTAAGTATCTAAAATCAAGTCAATGGTGACATGTCTTTATATTAATAATAACAATACTAATAATTCATGGTATATTTTATTTATTTAATACCACAACCAAAAAAAACTGAATTGTTTTTTAATTACAATATTTGTTACAACTGCTAAATAATATAACATCTAGTAACATTTATGAACAATAACAAAAATATAAATAAAAAAGAGTACAAAATAAAGGATAGTATTTGCATTAAACTAAATATGAATAAAAATAATCAAAATATTCCAACTTTTTTATGTACTGACTATTCTAAATCTAAAAATAGAATTATCCCATTTTTTGCTAAAAAAATATTTACCATCGTGGGCCAAATAATGTACAATTAATTATGAAATTATGCATTTTTTCAATAAATTTTGTAACGTTTTTTAAAAATCACTGTTTTGTTTCCTTTATCAATGTGCAATCATTTTGTTCATTTATAGGGTATCCCAGAATTCAACGTTGAACCAAAAGGAGGTGATAGCATTGATCTTAACAGTCCTCAAAATTTTGTTCTTTTTTTAAATTTCACACTTGGAAATTATGAGCTTTTAAGTGCAACCTAGAGCTTTGGTGAAATTATGACCATTTTTTGGTTATTGTAGTTAATTTTTACTACTTGTTTTCATTTAAATTTAGGAAATGTAATCCTGAATTTTTGGGACCACAGTAAAAAATTTGCCAAATTTTCTCAAGTTTTCACAAATTTCCTCAAGATTTCAAAAATTACGACTTTTTGTTGAACTATAAATTTAAACTTTCCAAAATCGGTCGACTTTGAGAGGCCCTACTTTGAAAAAAATGTACTAAATTTTATTGGCAAATTTTATCAACAGTTGGCACTTCCACTTTCGTTCGGATTTCTACCCACAGGTATATCATCCCTTATGTTCTATTAATACAATAATAAGTATTTCAAATATAAAAGGTGTGATACAATTGGGTGACATAAAAGGAGGAAAGGAAAATTTCCTCTAAAAAAAATCACCTAACAATATTTATAATAATAAATGATTATACTAAAAAAGAAAAACAAAACCAAAGATTTATTTGCTTTGAAGGAAAATCGGTAACGAGCCAAGTATCCTTCTCTGCTATGGGTCAATCAGAATATAGTTTGGTATGGCGTCCAACCTTTGGGTTGCCCTTCACAAAACCATGTAGTTAAGAAATATCACCAAAACAGATCATCACCTTACTTCCTCATTCCTAAGAATATTTATATTATTTTATATATATATATATATATATATATATATATATATATTGATATTTTTTAACAGCAATCAGAACCTTGCGTCCTATGAGCTGTTGGGCTGAAACTTCTTACTTCTTATTAACTTCCCGAAGGAGAAGTTTGTTTTCATCAAAAAATCCAAATCGCTAATTTTATGTTTTCTCGGCGTTTCAAGCCATTCTGAATCGAATGAGATCAAATTTGGAAAAAGTATGTGTGTGTGTGTGTGTGTGTGTGTGTGAACAGATTTTTTGCTGTAAATCGACGTTTTCTCAAAAACGGCTGGGCCGATTTCAAAAATTTAAAAACCATTCGATGTATCTCGATGAGGACTATCGCTTGTCAGTTTTGTGCGACGATCTGCCAAGCCGTTTCTTTGTAATTTTCAAAAAAGTGTTAAACTCTTCGTCCACATTTAAGCTCATCCTACCGAACCGATTTTCAAAAATCAAAAACTTTAATTCAATAATCAAAAATTGTAATTAACTGTTGAAAAAAAAATTTAAGCCGATTTTTATGGATTTTTTTTAGCGATATATATCATGGTCTTATACCACTTACTGTAATATTACAGTAAGTATTATATTTAAAAATTCATCGGAGTTTGAGAAAATGAGTTGTTTTTTTGACGTGAGTTAAAATTAAAATTAGACGATTTACTTGGTATAACGATAGTGTACTTGGTCTTAATGAACATACTAAACTATTACAATCCTACTGAAACTGGTTCAATTATAAAAATTATTGATTTTTGTAAATTTGCTTTTAGAAAATACTCCGAGTTAACGTGTTCGTTCGTTCGTTTGCATGTGTAATAAATCCACTCGGAATACTTACAATCACTCATAAATTAATTTATTTTTTATTGATTAAGTCGATTATTTACACATATCGTGAAGTTCATGTAACTTGCCTCAAGGCAAAATCCAATTCCAACTAGTTTTCTAGATGGTAACCCAATGGTTAACCCATCCATATTTGATGATTTTTGTTATTAGAATAATTATAATAGGGCTGACTTTTTATTGGTGCAGCAATGCCGGACAAGGGCTATTTTCACTTGGAAACATATTGCTATCCATAATTTTTTTTTTTTTAAATTTTACATATAATATTTTCTCCAACAGCGACCCCGTCTCCTACTACCAGCCTGCGGGTCCCTTCTCAGGGTTGTAGTTCCTGATGAACACAATGGGTCCCTACAAACCAGGACCTTACCAGTTAGACCTCATACAACCGCCAAAGAAGTCTGCAGGATCATCGCCCATAGGGCCAGAGTCACAAATCCTCAGGACTACGGACTTTTCAAATTGGTGGATGGTGAAGGTAAGAGAAAAATATACACTAGGTAAAAAAAAGAGTGCGCGTAAGGTTCACACGCGATTGAAGTAAAACTCATTTGCTACTGTACAAGATGGCATTTAAGTAAAAACAAATACATCATATAACAATTTTGAATAATGTTCATTAGTAATATTGTAACACTCGTGATCGAATCACACATTTATTAGTGTCAACCGTTATACACATTTATATGATGATGAAGTATAAATTATATATTTATAATAGCATTAAAAATATGTGTAATATTTAAAAACAATAATGTAATTAAAGTCATGCTTCAAATATGACATGATCGGTTTGTCATTTTAATTAGCATTCAGAAATGAACGTTCATTAGAGAAAAGAAGTGATTGCTGATTAATAAATTCTATAATATTCGTTCACACAGTGGATTATGTTAAACAACGCCTAAACAAATATTATTTTCGCATCTTCACTCATCATGTAATTGTGTTTGAAGAATTTCATGTAATTATAATTAACATACATTCATTGACTGCTTGTATTTTTTTACTTTTTCGCTGGCGATATAATCTCATTAGCGAAACCAAATTAAATCAAACTATTGATTAAAGCGTTGAAAGCACAACCGTAAAATTGAATAAAAAAATATTTATGGAAAAGCTCTCTAGGTATTTTTACGTTTTCGGTGTAATTAAAGTGACTAGTAGCCCTTGATCAACTATTCTTTAATTATTAGTTACAAAATCGAAGATAAAATTACACCTAAAATGCAATAATAATTTTCAAAAGTAATGAATGTTAAAAAATTATTAAGTTTCTGTTAGTGAGTTAGAACTGCTTATAAAATAAGGAAACCTTATTGGTTTCACCATTTGGTGCTTTCCAAATCTAGCAAGAAATTTGTAAAATCGTGCATATCAATATATATTTCTTTGTTTTTAGCAAAAAGAGAATCCATTAAACACGCTTTATTAAATCGGTACAAGTAAGGAATTTTCACAGACAGGCAAAATCTTCGTAAATTGAAATTAAAACTAATAAAACAAATTAAAAAATAGTTAACTATTCAAACTGCCCAAACGATTTTCAAATGGGTAATAAATAAATATTCTCAGCTTTCAATTAAGTAAGGCACTAGTATCATTTTTTCTTGCCTTGATGCAATTTGCTCGTCATAGAGTTTATTTATTTGTAAAATTTACAGTTTTGCTCTAGACACATAAATTTATGTTTAGATTGTTAATCAGTAGAGTCCTTGTTTGAAACATTTTACTTTTACCATATTGGTGAGCGGAGTTTATGTTCTCTCTTTGTTTGCACGGCAGTAGAGTTTTTTTGTTATTATTTATCCAGAAGTCTTCTGAAAGACTAAAGCAACTACATAGTTATATTTTCCACTCACGATAGGATTCTGAAAAAGGACTCTACTGACTAAAAACAAAGCAACATGGACTTTACTGACTCTGTCTTATTGCACGTCAGTAGAGTCCCTTTTAAATTTTTCATCCGGAAACTTCTTTTTTGTCTAACCAAGGTCAACCAGCATTTCTAGTCATATTTTTTAACCATTGTAATGCTTGTATTTTTTTTAAGTAAAACTTCTTTAGGCGCGGCATGTGTGTAAATCCGTACAAATGCAACGGAAGTGAGTTACGGCAAGGTCGAGTGCCAATGATTCGTCATTCTTGATATGCGTGACTATAAACGTGCGTACGTCACCGAAAGCGCGAAGCATATTGTTCATTTATCGGTGTCTCATGTCATTACATTTTAAGGTTAAATATTAGTACAAATCTTGAGTTAATACAAAATGTGTGGATCGGATGAATATTTTATCTCGTCCTCTATAAATAATTATATTGCAAATATTAAGCAAATGAAAAATTTGTGCCGAGTAAAAAACGTAAGTTTATTGAAATAATTTGTATTATTCGTGGTTACTATTTATTTTTGAGGTTATTAAAATAAAAATTATTTTTATATGCAAAACAGATACTACAACTGTTCAAAAAATGAAACTGTATGGCCAGCGAAAAACTAAAAAAAAAACAAGCAGTGAATGTATGTTAATTTTAATTACATGAAATTCTTCAAATACAATTACATGACAAGTTGTTCAACATAATAATTCTCTGCATTTTTATAGAATTAAAAAATATTAAAGCAATACAGCTTTATTTTAACATGCCGAAGATATATCATTTTCAGAATTATATCTCAGACACTTCTGGAATTTTAGAGAAAGTTTACATGTTTTTCGTTTATGATGGCTATTAAGTATTACAAAGTTGCATATTTTTATAAATAATGAAGAATAAATTGATATTCAGATTTATTACTCTAAACAAGAGATCAAGCGCAACAATAGTTTATTCAGCTGTGTGTCATTCATATACAGATATACTTCATAATGGACATTTATGCAATTTATTTATTGCTAGTGTTAATGAAATTATTCAAAATTGTTATATGATGCATTCATTTTTAACTTAAATGCCATCTTGTACAATAGCAAAAAAGTTTTACTCGAATCGCGTGTGAACCTTACGCGCACTCTTTTTTTCTACTTTTTCTCTGGCGATATAATCTCATTCTTTGAACAGCTGTAATATCTGTCTTGCCTAAAGAATATTTTCCATTTTAATAACTCCAAAGATTTATAGAAACTACGAATAGTATAGAAATAATTTCTAATCAATAAACTTACGTGTAGTACACGGCCCAAATGTTTATTTTGTTTTATTATTTTCAAGGAATAGGGTAAAATATTCTTCTGATTCAAGCATTTTTCATTAAATCAAGATTTGTACTTCGATGTAACTTGCAAATGTTTATTTATCTATGCCGATTTCCTTGTTGATATCGGTACGCATACAACGACAGATCTCTATTCACATGACACGACGACTAATCACAATCGACCCGTATCGAAATGATATCATCGAAAGCGAATTAGACGCTATTTTCGTTGCATTTATACGGATTTACACTCTTTTAATTTAAGAAGTTTTACTTAAAAAAAAAATATTCATCAACTTATTTTTAATTTTTTTTTTTGGCAGAATCTCTCTTGGCCGATGGTGAATGTCCGCAAGAAGCAAGATTGTCTGCTGAAGGCAAACATTGCGTTTTGGCTTATAAAAGAATTGACGCCAAAATTGCTTGGCCTACACAAGCCTTGGTGATTTCTGATGAAGATTGCTAATGGAAAAATGAAAAGGACAATGAAACTTTTGGTCTTTTGAACTTTTGGAGACTTTCGGATACTTTTGGAGTCTTTTGGAGCCTTTGGTAAACGACTACCACCTGGTATGGACAAAATTGCTTGTATCAAGGGAAAAGTGGTAAACGACTACAATTTTGGGTATGTTATTGGTTAAACATCTACTTTTGTTTTGTTACTTGGTTACGAAAACAATTTGTCAAATTATAAGGAAAAAACCAAAAAGGCTTTATATTATTATATTATATTAAAGCAGTGATTTCCAACCTGTATGAGATACAGAACATTTAAGCTGATGCACCCTTTGGCCAAAAGTGCAAATTTTTCCATATGTCCATTTATTTCAGTAGTTACTAAAATCGACATACAACTTGTCCTAATAATACTTATAAATCCACTAAGGATTTTTTTAAGAAAAAATGGTCCTTTTTGCGGCAAATTAAAATAAAATGACAATCCCTTAGACAACTCTGCGCTTATTTGTAGTTTTAGCCAATAAGCGTACGATTTGATGTATAAAATTAAATACTAATTTAAAAAAATTAAAAAGTTTCTTAACCATTAATTATAATAATTAATATGTTAATTAAAAAAATAATTTCCATTTTAATATCTTCAAAGATTTATAGAAACTACGAATAATATAGAAATAATTTTTGAACAATGAACTTAAGTTTGTACACGGCACAAATGTTTAATTTGTTTTATTATTTTCAAAGGTAAAATATTTTTCTGAATCAGGCATTTTTCATTTGTACTACGATACAATACAATAATACAATTAATTAATAATATTATTACTAAATTAAATTTATTAACGCGAGAGTAAATTTTGCATGAGGAATTTAATTTGGAAGCATGATTTATTGGAAATGTTCAATTTTTCATGAAAAATTGAAGGTTTTTAATGGAAATCTATAATTTTTCATGGAATATTGAAGGTTTTTTTGATTGTGTTTCTAAATTTTGTTTTTGTTTTTAAAATTGTTTGGGAAGATTGTTTTATGCATGTATTTTGTTTATTTTTTTAATTAAGTTTTTTAAATTTTGTTCTAAATTATTTTGTTGTTGATGGAATTGTAATTGTAGGTATATTCTGTGGTAACATTATATTAAAAAAACTGTTTCTAAAAAATTTGTTTAACAAAACTTAAACAAATTATATAAATTTACACTAGATACGACTAGATACGTCTAGATGCGACAAAAAAATTTTGAAAAAAAAGCACTTTTAATATAATTTCTAAATATTTTTTTATCAGAAAGTGTTTCATTTTTTTAAATTAATTAATTGATTTATTATTAACGATTATTGTAAATTCATTATTACAATATTATTTTATTTTATTTAGAATTTATTAGCAATTTTTTAACAAATATTCTCATAATTTTTGGACACTAATTTTTATTAATAATAATTAATGGGACCTTACCAGACTTTTCTCAAATTTGTCAAACGTTTCGCAAATTTCGAGAAAACGCACTTTAAAATCACAAATTTTTGCTTTTTATTTAAAAAAATCTTGCCGCAATTCAAATAATATAACTATTATAAATAAATAGAAGAAACATTAATATTTTTTTACATTCTTTAGTACTTGGATTCAAAAAAACATAAGACTTACTTGCCTCATAAATAGTTATGTAATATTGTTTATTTACTTCTTTTAATGCCTCACAAATTTAATAATAATTTATATATAGAGTTTCTGGATTCTGCATAAATTTAATATTATTTCTTATATTTTTTTAAATTTAACTATTAAAAACAAACACTATTAAATTACATAAATAAAAATATAATTTTTTGATATTTTGTAGTATTTGGACTCAAAAAAACATAAGACTTGCCTCATAAATAATTAATATTAATTAATATCAATTATTTTTTTAATGACCCATAAATTTATTATAATTAATAATCGATATTTTATTGCTTCATAAATTTAATATTATTTATAATAGATTTTTTGTAATTTGACATTTTTGGATTCAGTAAAAAAATACAAATTGCCTCAGAAATTTATTATTTTTGTCGTGATTTTTTTGAACCCTAAAGGACTTTTATTAGTAATATAATTTTAATAATTTTTAAAATCGATTTAAAAAATATTTGACTACTCACACATTTATTTTTCAACACTCATATATTTATATATTAAAAAATATTTAATATTTTAACTACTTTTATTTTTCCTAATAACCATATGATACAAATTCTATACATATGATGTGTGCAAAATGCACTTTAATATATAAATATAAATATTATAAATAATATTTGATATAAATATATATATATATATATATATATATATATATATATATATATATATTAATATATATGTATATATATATATATATATATATAAATTAATTTTTACATAGCTCTTTATATTAAAATTTCTGTCTTTTAATGTAAACCAAAATATTCTTAGTAATTTTATTTAAATTTAAATTATTTTAAAAAATATTCATATTTCATTATTTTTGCAATTACAAAATAAATATTACATGTTTAAGATGTTTATCATAAACACTTTATTATGAATTTCAAATTGAAGAATAAATTTTTTAAACAAATAATCAAATTTCAAGAAAATATTTATACTAATTATTAAACAAATTTTGTTTTTTTTTTCATTTATGCAGCCTTGCCCTATTTTTAAAGTATAGTAAAAATTTAAGTTTTTTTAAACCATTATTTTTTTTACTAACAATTAGGGTTATGTAAAAAGTAAGGGTTATGTAAAAATTAAATTATATTTCACCAATTACCAATAATCGTTTTAAAAAAATATTTAGAAGTAGACGACAGCTTTTTTCAATTTCACAAAAACATTTTTATAATAATAAAACGTGATGCTGTGATTATTCGTATTATCAAATTAAAAAAAAAACATAAATTATGAATAAAAATTTAAAAAATTAGCTCTAGATTTTTATATATTTATTAAAAAATAAGTATTATACGAGAACGTCGTGAAAATGTATTAATTAATATGTAATGGACTCTAATAATAATATAAATATTATTAATATAAATATTATTATTATAAATGTAAAATGTATATTAGAATTTAGGAATATCGTTGTGTAAATGATTTGTGAAATTTGTAGAGTAGATTTATTATTAAAAAAAATTATCGAAAGGACCACCGCAGTGCAATCATAAATCTTGGTTTTGCCAAATTTAGTAAAAGAAATTTTGGAAAATAATTTTCATTATAAAATCACTACACATACACGCCCATATTTGTATATGAAGTCAACTACTATTTTCTATCATTATTTTAAATTTTTCAAACGTTTCGAGACTCTATTTGTGTCATCATCAGAGTAATATATTTTATATTTAAAAACAAAATTTGAATTGGATAGAATTATCCAGTCATCCAGCTTACAAATTATCTTAAATCTTAGAACGAATATTTATATTTCAAATCGATTAATTTATTTAACAAATACGACCAACAAAGACTAACCTAGGCAAACTACAGACTACACAAAACAAAGCTTTGCGATTTACATTTGTTGTTAATTTTAAAGATTTCGTATGATTTAACTAGATTATTTATTAAAAAAATTGGTGAATAGAGTACTGTACTAAATACACTTTCAAAAACCATAAGTCGTGCATCGGATAACACGGACTTCCTAGTGCATTTTTTTTAAATAATTAAATATAAATATAAACGTTTGTAAAATTTAAAATATGGACTTGATGAACATTGTGGAAAACTGTTATTTTCATTTACATCAACTTTTATGTGTTATATTATTTTGTACAAAAAAGATTAGTCATCCAGTTTACAAATTATCTTAAATCTCAGAACGAGTATTGATATTTTAAAACGATTAATATAAACTAATACGACTAATACTACCTAAACTACAGACTACACAAAACAAAGCTCTGCGACTTACATTTGTAGTTAATTTTAAAGATGTTGTATGACTTAAATAGATTATTTATAAAAAAATGGTGCATAAAGTACTGTACTAAATACAATTTGGAAAACCATAAGTCGTGCATCGGATAACACGGACTTCCTAGTACATTTTTTATTAAAATAATATTAAATATAAATATAAACGTTTGTAAAATTTAAAATATGGGCCTGATAAATAGTGAGGAAAACTCTTATTTTCATAATTAATACTACATCAACTTTTATATGTCATATTAATTTAAACAAAAAAGATTTTACACATCATCGAATTATTAAATAGAAAAAACTAAATTATGTTCCAAAAAAATTTATGAGTGTTTCATACGTTTTGTATACTAATTTTACACTTCTTCAGTGGATAAAACACACAAATTATTTTTAAAAAAAATTATAAAAACAAACATAAAAGACTTGTACAATAGTCATATTTATAAAATGGAATTATATATATTTTTTAATAAATTGAATTTAAATTAAATATGAACGATAATTATTCGTAATTATGAATAACACGTTAAATTATAAATTTTTTTTTGTAAGTTAATATTTTGTTGTTCATACATAAAATTTAAATTTAATTTAATAAATTCTATTTTATAATTATGACTTTTGTACACGAATATTATTGAAGATTTTTTTTTAATCATAACTTAGTTTGTTCTATTTATCAATTGGATGGATGTTTGTATAAAAAACTTTTTTTGTTTTTTTTTATAAATATATTATATACAGTTAAGTTTATATTTTCTGAACCAAGAAAGTTCCTCATTCTTATTAATTTTTCTATATTTTGAACCAAAATATTTGTGCATTTGCATTTTTTGAAATAATAATAAATTATGTTTGTTTTTTGGAGAGACTTGAGAGATTTTTATTATAATTTTTTGAGAAAAACTATTTTTTTTATATATTTTTCTTTTCAAAAGTCTTTAAATTCTACCAAGTTATTTTGGAATATTTCTTTTTTTAACTAAACAGTTTGTTTATTTATTTTTAGTTAAAAACAGGAGCATTTTTGGTTCAGAAAAACACTTTATAATTAAATTGTAAATATGTTTGTAAGAGCATATATTTATGTTACAATATTGTTCTTAAAATCACTTTTTTGAAATTTTTATTTTTTTTAATTTTTCCAAACTTTGCTGGATTTTAATCATT